GTTTCTCAAGTGTGTAAACTTAAAGTAAGATGAGCGTTGGGCGGGAATTGGAATCAGACGTCCGTGAAGAAAAAGGAGTTGTTGTTGAAGCTTCCCAAGGACTTGGAAGAGCAACTTGCGAATGAAAGGGCTATTTTTGGGGGGTGAGAGGTAGGAAGAAAATTTGCCTGGTCAGGTCGAAAGGCAAAGCTGGGAAAAACATCCAGGAAACAAAACACACCCCTAAAACCAGAAGAACCATGGGGAGCGTTCAAAATCCATAGCAAAAAGAGCCAAGAATGAACAGGTGCGACCTCCCGTTGAAAGCAAAGAGTGCTTTTATTCTAGCTGAATAAACCAGGAACAGTCAACGGCCCTGATGGTAAACAGACACGGTTCCTCCCTTTGAAGACATCAAAACTCTTGTTCTTTAATACTATTCTCCACCCACCCTTCATCGTGTGCCGTTTGGAGAATAAATGAAGCCATGCATTTTGACCAAATTGCCTCTCCAGCTGAGTGGTTGAGATCAAAACAGTAGCTGCTTAGGCAACACCTCACCAAGGCAAACAAGATTCTTCAGAGACAAAAAAAATATCATTTGAATGTACGATGGGATATACATGGCAAGGTGTATACACGCCACCACGTTTACACTTCTTATTATGGAAATAGAATCAGGTACGGAAATACAATAAATCCCTGATAGAAAACCAAGAGAACCAAGATTTGTAATTATAATGTAAAAATATAAAAAGCGCTCCTCCAATCTCAGACACACCAGACAAACTTAGCTACCCAAATGTTGGTCTCCAAGCAAATAAAACAGGCACAATTTTGATTCCTTGCCGAATAAAGCAATCTTAGGCAGATATCTCAAGTTTCAGTTAATTCTCCTCTGAAGTGAGAATCCAGAACTTTGGTTCAAAATCTCTGAAAACTGGAGTTCCTGTCTTCAAATTCCAAAAGGTACTTCAATGTTTTATTTTATTTTTTTAAAAAAATCAATCAAATTCAGACCTGTCACTTCTCGGTTAAGAAATCAAGATTTTAGAGGGCAGGAAAGAGACTCTGAGGTAAGAAATGAATCTAGAATCACAAAGAGCTACTCAAAGGGGGCTTACCTGGAGCCCAGATGCAGGTGGAAAAGGAAGCAGAGGGAGACTGTGGGTTGCGATTGACAATGATCAAATATTACCTTTGGTGCCAGCACAATGAGAAATTTTGCACTCTAGTTAAACCAGGTTTGGAAGTATTTATTCTAAAGCTCGACGCCGCTGGAAAATCTAGTGTGCTGCTGGAGGCAATGCACACAAGAAACGATTACAAAATTCGCAGTACATTCACAGCCACAGAGAAAGAAAATGTACAGCAACCCTTCTCATTTCTCTGCGCAACCCCACAGTCTGAATTCAGGGCATTCAGATTATCCGAGACTTTGGTTAAATGCAACTCATGTCCCATCCATTCCTAGTCAAAGGCAAAGCTCACCTTTCCAGCCCCGATGACGGCTCTTCGCTGAATTCTGAACTTTCACTGCTTTCTGCAAAACAAAGGGGGAAATATTTAAAGCAGGGGAAGGGGAATAATAATAATAATAATAATAATAATAATAATAATAATAATAATAATAATAATAATAATAATAATAATAATAACAATAATAATTCAAAACAGGTCTATCATGTCCCTTACAGAAGCTAAAAGATCTGGTACTCGGTTTCATGCTGTTGAAATTCCAAGCCACAAAAGGTTGAATGAATGAATGAATGAATGAATGAATGAATGAATGAATGAATGAATTCTTTATTGGCCAAGTGTGATTAGACACACAAGGAATTTGTCTTGGTGCATGTTGTATATATGTACAAATATTTTAAGGAAGCTTTAAAGCTATCCTTATTTTCGCCATGTTACATGGGGAGAAGGGGATTTATTGAAAATAAATAAATTCGCAGTTTAATGCAAGTACATCTCAATTAAAAAAACAAAAAACCTTTGTTCCCAGACAAAAGAGACAATAAAGAGATGTTGGATTTTTCCTTTCATCAAGACAAGAACTGACAGTTTGGTGTCATGGAAAAACAAGCAGATGATTATCTGAATATGGAATGAGGGTCTTTTTTTATTTTTTTATTTTGCAAATCAATGCAATCCTGTTAAATTCACCGGAAGGGAATTTAAAGTTGAGTCTTTAACGATGAAATGGCCTTTCTTTTCTTTTTTTTTCTTTTCCCAAACGGAGTAATTTAGATTGTTGGTTTGTCCATCGCTCAGAAGCATTGTTGAGCGGTAGCCAACACAACTACTCCTCCTTTCCCTGTTCAAGAAAGCTAAATTATAAATGTTGATGTGGTGGCTAGGGAACATCATTTGGGGTTGATGGATTGATGGATTGATGGACTAGAATAGATGATATGGAATGATTAGAGCATTTTCCACATTTGGTAATTGCATTAAACCTGTTGCACGGGTAGTTTTGACAAAAAAACTCATGCTGCGGTAGACCAACTCCAAGCCATCCAAGACACCAAGGACCTCTCTCAAACCAACAGCTTCCTCACTGTCTTGCCTGCTAATTCTACTTTCTAGAACACAGGACCATAGAGCTGGATGGGACCTCAGAGGTCTTCTGGTCCAACCCCCTACTCAAGACAGGAGACCGTAAACCATTCTGGACAAAGGGTTGTTTCGGTCTCTTGTAAAAAACCTCCAGTGGTGGAGCATCCACGACTCCTGGAGGCAAGCTGTTCCCTACTTCTAGCCTGGTTCTCTTGCTAACCAGATACGTGCAGCCAACTCTCTATTTCCACTGAGTATGGAAGAGCTCCTTCCAGCTAAGAGTATTGTATTCTTGTATTCTTCCTGCCTTCTGAGCAATGCTTTTGAGATGACTAAAACTTGCATTTTCTCCAACCGTTTCTCGGTTTTACCAAAGGGCCACCACAACTGGCGCCACTTAACAGCAGGAAAACGGAAATGGCTCCAAGCTTCAACCGCTATATTTTATCACAACGGTTCTCAGCCTGTGGTCTTCCTTTAATCAGGAGAGGAAAACAGGAGCTGAGGGTTTGGAGTCATGGCAAACCAAGAGGATGTCCCTGCTTGTACGGACGATCATCTGACTAGGGGGGAGGGGGGTGAAGGTCTTTAAAAGTCAGTGCAACCCCGTTAAATTCACCGGAAGTCGAATCTTTAACGATGCAAGCGGGGTTGCTTTTACAAACAGAGAAGCTTGGATTTGGGGTTTGTTCATCGTGTCTAACCCTGCTTGGGTGGGCGGGAGCGCAATGTCATACATGAAGGCTTGAGGAAATGTCAGGATTTAAATCTTAAGACTCTGGAGTCGGTGGCCACAAAAGTGCTTAGAAGGGGTCCACGGTGAAGAAAAAACGGAGAATCTATCAAGATTGAATGGAGACAAGCAACCAAGACTCACGCAATGTCCTCCAATGAGCGGAGCTGTATTCTGAAGCTACCCATGCCTATCTAAAACAGGAGAATTGGGTCAATCTCTGGTGTTAGAAAACCAGGAATCTGGCAGCCCCCTTTCCAACCTTAATTCACAGGCACCCACTTGGGCGATCTTAATTTATAGCTCCAACTAACAATGGGGATTCTCAGTCATCCACCAAGTCCTGGTTGTCCCAAAGGTGCTTTTTTTCCCCCCCCCCAAGAGGCAACTGGACTTCCTTTGTTTTGCTTGGAAGGCATTTCGCTTCTCATCCCAGAAGCTTGTCCAGTTCTTCTTCTTTTATTTCAGAGCCGAAGAACCTCCTGGGATGAGAAGCGGACCGTTGGCTGTTCTCAAAGACCCTGCCCGAAGTTGTAAAGTTGAGGGCTCCCCCGATCATCTGGTCATCCTGGGGGGGGGGGCCCTCTGGATTCCAGGGCAGAGGAGATGGGAAGGCCGAAGCGCCCAAAGCTGCTTCTTCTACGCGGATACTTACCTAGGGAAACACCGTTGGTGAACACAGAGTTTAGCGGGTGGTTCCTGACAGGGCTGTGAGATTCTAACACGCTGTCGTCCAGCAGGTGGCGCTGCTTCTCTGTTGGGAAGGTGGCGCTTTTACTTTCTACTACACTGAATTGACACATCATACTGGGAAAACGGGAGGGGAGAAAAAGGAAGGAAGGAAGGAAGGAAGGAAGGAAGGAAGGAAGGAAGGAAGGAAGGAAGGAAGGAAGGAAGGAAAAAAAAAGAGGAAAACATTTTCTTTAGATCATCTGGTAACAGCCGTTCATGCTCAAAGTTTTGCCTGCCTGGATTGTATTGGGGTGGGGAGTTCTTAAGGGTCAGGAAGTCCTTAGGGCAAAGATCTCACCTCACAATCAGGAGGTTGTGAGTTCAATCCTAGGTAGAGGCTAATATTTGGAATAGACTGTCCTGCTCGAGCAGGGGGTTGGATTAGATGGCCTCGAAGGTCCCTTCCAACTCCGTTATTCTATGTTCTACAAGCCTGTCATCTCCTTCTTAGGAGTTCGTTCTAATGATCCATCCTCCCAAAATTGACTTGTTTGTTGTTTTTTAAAAAGCAGATACTGTTCCAATCTAGATGGAGACTTCGGCCTTTACCTAAAAGAATAACAGAGCTGGAAGGGGCCACAGAGGTCTTCTAGTCCTGGCAGGAGACCCTAGACCAAAGGTCTTCCAACTTGGCAAGCTGAAGACTTGGGGACCTCAACTCCCAGAATTCCCAAGCTAGCATCACTAGAGGAGGAAGAATTCTGGGAGTTGAAGCCCACCAGTCTTAAAGCTGTCAAGTTTTGAAGACCCCCTGCTCTAAACCCTTCCAGACAAATGGCTGTCCAGTCTCTTCTTAAACACCTCCAGGGTTGGAGCTCCCACAACTTCTGGTGGCCAGCAGTTCCACCGGTTAAACGCTGGGAAAGCAACGTGCCTTCCCGTTTCTAACGCTAAGCTGAACGCACACATTCCTAACTCATTTCTTTCAGGCCAGTTGGGCACCCGTAACATGGGAAGAAACATCCTTGACTTGGGTAATCAAAGACAAATTGGAAGGTCCTTTCTGGTAAATCGGCCAACTTTCAACCGGGAAGGAGTGGCGCCACCGCACAACGGTTGCCAAGACCACAGAAGGGGGAATCCTAAGACGAACGAGTTACTGAGGAACCAGAATCCTTGCAAAATCCCTACGAGCAGTCCTTGTCTTGTGACCACAACTCAGCTCCGCATATCTGTCACTAAGGAGGAGGGAGTGCTTTGTGCAGCGAGGTTTGCCCCATTTCACGACCTCGCTGGCCACGGTGGGGCGGGTAAGTTAGGAACCCGGTTGTTACAGCGAATCTGGCCTCCCCCAGTGATCTCAGGGGCATAGCAACGGTCATATGTGTGAGCCAGTTGCCAAGCGCCTAGCACGGGGACGGTACAAAGGCCCGGTGAAGAACAGTCGTAAGTCAATCCCTTTTTTCAGCGCCATTGCTAAGTTTTGAACGGTCGCTAAAACGGAGGGTTGTAAGTCAAGGACTATCTGCGGAGGGAAGGGGAGGGCTTCCTGGCTGCCTTTAAAAGAAAAACAAAAAAAAAACCCTAACTAAGCTGCGCGCTTCAGTGCAGACTGCAACACCCACTTGTTTCCAAGGCTGTGGCTCTTCCTGTGCCGCGGTATAGGAGGGGTGTGCATGTTGGCCGCTACCGAGGCATCAGGACAGGTGGGCCTCCTGTTGAACCTCACAGCTGCCGACACTTCGGACGGACCTACAAAACAGACACCAATTAATGCTACGCTAAGTATCAGGAAGCCTGTCGCTCAAGGGCGCCGTCGCTTTCTTCCGGGAAATAGAATAGAATAACAAGAGTTGGAAGGGACCCTGGAGGTCTTCTAGTCCAACCTGCTGCCTAGGCAGAAAACCCTACACCACTTCAGACAAATGGTTATCTCATCTCTTCTTAAGAACTTCCAGTGTTGGAGCATTTACAACTTCTAGAGACAAGTTGTTCCACTGATAAATTGTCCTGCCTGTCAGGAACTTTCTCCTTAGTTCTAAGTTGCTTCTCTCCTTGATTGGTTTCCACCCGTTGCTTCTTGTCCTCCATTCGGGTGCTTTGGAGAATAGCTGGACTCCCTCTTCTTTGGGGCAGCCCCTCAAATATTGGAAGACCGCTATCATGTCACCCCTAGTCCTTCTTTTCATCAGACTAGACATACCCAGTTCCAGCAACTGTTCTTTGTATGCTTTAGCCTCCAGTCCCCTAATCACCTTCGTTGTTCTTCTCTGCACTCTTCCTAGAGTCTCAACATCTTTTTTACATCCTGGCGACCAAAACTGAATACAATATTCCAAGTGTGGCCTCACCAAGACATTATGAAGCGGTATTAACACCTCAAATGATCTTGATTCTATCCCTCTGTTGGTGAAGCCTAGAACTGTGTTGGCTTTTTTGGCAGCTGCTGCACATGGCTGGCTCCTATTTAAATGGTTGTCCACTAGGACTCCGAGATCCCTGGAAAGCTGGAACATTTCCTGGAGGAAGATGAAGACGACACGGGAGAGAAAAGAGGAGGTGGAGTGTTGGGAAACTGGGAGGGGGAGTCAAACAGGGAACTAGCTTGGAGTCATCGCATGGCTGCCAAAGGGCAGAAAAGGCTGGTGTCAACCCTGAAGTTGGCCTAACTGTGGCCGTTTTTCTTTTTCATAACTTTCTTCTAAGGGTTTTCTCCTGCCTGGCTTCAGGGATGAGACACAGCTAAGGGGCCGGGGAGGGTGTGCGTGTAGAAATAGTTGGGGCTGTTGCAGTCAAAATAAAATTATTTCCCCTGGGAATCAAGGACATTTCTGCAGGTATTTGGGCAGAAAAGATGGAAGATGCCCAGCAATTGGACTGTATACTGATTGGGCCAGGTGACTGGAAGGAACCTTGGAGGTTGTCTAGTCCAACTTGTGCAAACTCTTCTTAAAAAAAAAAAAAAAAACCCAACCCTCCAGGGTTAGCTCCATAAATATCTTTTAATTAACTGAAACATTCTGCGATCTTGAAAACCGCATTACCTATCCCTTTGATAGCAATAGTAGTCTACCCCAACAATACACAAAAAAATAAATGAAAAAATGCGATGCCAAGGCCGGAGAGGGAGAGAGAGAGGGAGGGAAGGGTTTCAGGTGTGACTATCGTTGTCAGACAAAAAACATATGCTTTGAGTTTATTTGCAAGACCGCTCTGCCGGTCAAAAATGCAAAGCATCAGCGTCTCGTGGGGAGAAGAGGTTTTACAGGAATTTGAGCCAGACAGATGACAATTCTGGAAATTGGAAGGTGGTTTCAGAGCCAAGAGGCTAAATATTTGTAGCCAGCACGCACTGGAGCGTAGACAGAAAATAACGTTATCGCATTCTTCGTTGACTTCCTAAGGGCCGTGCGGAACCAACAATTGGTCAACATGATGGAAGCAAAAACAATGGCCTATTGCGCGTGCAAGGGATAAATTGATTAATGATATATAAAGGCAAAGATCTCTGTAATGGTAGCTTAATGTTCTGACGTCAGCAGAGGCTGACGAAAGCTTAGTAAGTACATTGAATATAATTTTGCAGAATGAGTTGGAACATGCAACCCCTATGCCTTTCTCAGTTTCATCACAAGCAATTTTCCTGCTTTGGTGTATGTGTGTGTGTCTGTGTGTGTGTGTAATATCAACAAAGGATTAGATCTGGGTGACTTGGGAATTGCTTCCAAATGGAAAATGCCCAACCCTGAGTCAACAATAGTCCTCTTGACCAACAACAAGTCCAATCCAGTTCTTTTATTAAGGTTCACTCTGCTAAAAAGTTCCACTTTGCAAAACTGGGTTTTAAGGCCTGACAATGCTTTTGATTTTTCTACCCCAAAATCTGGGCTCTTGGCTGGCTTCTACAGCTGAGCACTTTTCCAGTTCCACAATAATAATAATAATAATAATAATAATAATAATAATAATAATAATAATAATAATAATAATAATAATAATAAAAACAACTACCATGGTAAGATGGGCCCATCACTTTGCTAAGTATTGTTGTAGATTCCTTTGTGGAAATTCCCCCGAGGGGGAAAGAGAAGCGGGCTTCGGATCCAGACGGTGACTAATGCATTAGCCTACAATCCTCTAGCAGAAGGATGATCTCAGTGCGCCTGCGGAACTTTCTATAAGTTGCCTTCAATGATTTGTTATTTAGAGAGAAGCTATGGAGACAACAGGCTAAGGAGAAACTGACGCGCCACGTAGAGATCAACAATCTGGATCATGGTTTATGCTTTTTAATCACAGTGCTTCATGCAAACACATAAATGAGGAAGACACGTCTCCACGTTGGAAGGTATTTGCTTCAGTTTCCATTCTAAAGAGAGTCGAAGATATATAGTCATAATCCCTTGCGGGGGTGGAGTCTGCGCAACTGAATGGAACTGAGTGTTTACTGGCCGGATGCTCTTCCTGTCACCAATGAGGAGTTTTGTTCAGCAGATAGATTCTCAGTGTGTCCAGAGAGAGAAATACTTGCCTCTTCCCAGGATCGAACTCACAGCCTACTGATTGTGAGGCGAGAGCTCCGCCTCTAGGCCACCGCACCACTCCTAGTCAAAGGTATATCCTTGCCTCTATTTATTCAAAACTTTTGGGATTGTTTCTCATCCAGCATTATCTTAACGTGAGTTTCATTATCCAACGCTAAAGGTCAAATTCACATCCATTCGTGTTTATGCCAGAAGGCTGTATATATATATATAAACAAACAAAATGCAAACAAAATGAACTGCAATGGAGTAAGGGCGGCTTTGTTTGCCAAACGGCATGCTTAATTGCCTTTGCAATTAGAAAATTAATGGTGTCCAGCTCGAAGAGATGGAAGTTTCTAAATATTTAGGAGTTGCTGGGAGTTTGCTTTCAGTCTTCTGCGAAAGATGATCTCTGCTGAAGCCAACTTATTCCGGGACCAACAAGCTGAACCTTTCACTCAACAGGCGCAGCTGTCGATACAGGCACAAGAGTTCGAAATGCAGTTTGATCTATATTCCTCGGAATTATACTTCATGTTTCTCACTGTGTGTGAAATTCTGGGACTTGGCTGGGCTCGCACGACGATCTGCCAACTTGAAATACTGACAAAAAAACCTCATTTGGGCTCCTTGAGTCCTTGCTGGTGTTTGTTTCCTCTTAGGAGAAAGGCCTGGTCTTAATTTTGACTTTATTTAATGTATTTATGTGTCAGACTTATTTGCTGCCTACAGGGGACTCTGGGTGGCTTAGAAGCATGAAAAGCCAATAAAACATTGAAACGATAAATGATTAATAATAGTAAGAATTGACACCATCGGCATTGACAAAATCCTCATCGGTCAATTGCAGAAGGCAGCTTTGCTTGAGACAGCTTACATCTTATTGATTAAAATCTTTAACATATTCACATCTGCCTCTCCCAGATCCTTGGGAAGGACTTGGATAGGTAGACAAAAATGCCAAATCCAGTTTGAATATCTGGCTGACTGTCCGGCCAGCCGTAATAATATTACTTGGATGTTGTGGTCTTGACAAAATCCCTGTCGGTCAATTGCAGAAGGCAGCTTGACTTGGAACAGCTGACATCCTGCAATTATACCTTTAAACATCATCAAACATTCACATCTGCCTATGCCAGCTCTTTTGGGAAGGACTCCATAGGTTGACTCAGCCTTCTCTCCTTCTGAGGTGGGTCAAATGAAGACCCAGATTGTTGGGGGCAAAGAGGCTGACTCTGTCAACCGCTTTGAGAGGGCTGGAAAGCACTGTGAAGCGGTATATAAGTCTATGGCTATTGCTGTAAGTTTGCCACCTGGAGTTATTTGTCAAAATAACTGATGATGTTACCTAGTTGGGTCATGAAATGTCTGCAAGAAAACAAGCAAGCTCAGAGAGCATCGAGGATCCCGCCCCCCCAAGCAAAAGACAGATATAAAACTGTTCTCCAACCTTGGAAGACAGCAAAAAGCTCTCCGGGGTTACCAAAGATTCAGTCTCTAATCAAGCTAAGATTGGAGGGTGGAATTGAACGCTCAACCTCTTTGATTCCTTCCTTCCACTGTCATGGGGGGCTTCTGGAGACAACGAGGCTGGTAGCTTTGCTGAAAGACAAGCTTTTAATGGGCTCCTGACTCCTTAAACATTTCCCACCCATCCCTCCTCTCTCCTTGCTCATCCTAGGATAAACAACGGGGATTATATTTTCTTTTGTTCTTCCACCCTGCCCCTTTGGTTTCAAGCCTGCCGTTCCCCCAGACATCTTTTAATTTTTTTACACAATTGTATGTCAATTGTTCTGGGAACCATTTCGTTTGAACAGAGAGGGGGTGGAAAATGCTTTGTGCATCAAACAGGAATAGTTTCCCCACTCCGTCTACTTCTAGGAGACATTATTACGGCGAACACATGCTTTTTCAATCGTCGTTTTCATACACAGGGAGGAAAAAAGGCAGTTTGCTTTTTCGTTAGCCCTCCACGTTACTCTCAGGGCAACGCTGACGTCGGCGTGAAAATAATACGCAGAAGGGACAGCGTTGCTTACGGAGGGTTTTATATTGGGAGGACTGGAGGGAAACCCAGAAAAGCTGATCGTTGCACTTTAAAAAATTGTGGCAGGAACATTTGGAAAAAGCTGACCACGAAGCATTACTATCCCAAAGGATTCTTTCTGGTTACTTTCCTTTGCATAATTTCCCCATGAAATAATCATCCAGGGGCCTTAAACAAAGAGTAACTTATGTAATTCTTTAGTAGGACTCCTGAGTGACAAGTAGGAATTCAGTAAGTTTTCCCTAATAAAATGAAACAGATTAATCCTAGACCAACAATCAAGCAGGAAACAATACCCCAAAGAACTCCAACCAACACTAACAGGGCAAGTCACTTGTGTATAAATAGGGAGCAAACCCTACTGCCTTCAGGCACTGATGATGTTACCTAGTTGGGTCATGAAATGTCTGCAAGACGAGCAAACTTGGAGAGCACCAAGGATTCCACAATTTCAACACTTCTCTGCTCTATTTTAGTTTGAATGGGTAATTCTGCCTTCCAAGTTCCTTTAAACCCTATCAATGAACTACCAAGGGAGTAAACCCCACTCCCTTCTAGCACTGATGATGTCACCTAGTTGGGTCACAAAATATCTGCAAGGAAACCATCAAGCTCAGAGAGTGTCAAGGACCTCACAGTCCTCCTCCTCCTCTCCACAAACCCCACTCCCTTCTAGCACTGATGATATTACCTAGTTGGGTCATGAAACATCTACCCAAAGACAACCGAGTTCAAGAATTAGTTCAGAAAGAAACAGTTCATTAGAAAAAGACTGAGAGGCAATAGCGGATTCATTTATGGGAGGATTCTGTCATTTGTGTCCTTTCACAACCATTTGGGAGCTGAGATAAGTCAACATATAAGGTTTTGGCACTGGTGAGGGACAGGATTAGAAAACTCAAGACTAGAATGACCAAAGGCCATTCATTATTCTGTCGTGTCCTGGAATAGGAGAGGAGAATTTGCTGTGGGAATTCTGGCACTGCCTACTTGAGGATGAGTGGAGAAGAAGCTATCAAGGAGGTGAGAGCGAATGAGACAATCCTGGCCTGCAGTCAACGATTGGCAACTCAAAAATCCCAGAACAAAGCTATTTATCAGTCACCATGGCTACCTCTAAAGTAAACTGCATAGTTAAATGTCAGACCAGTTGTTTACACGGAAAAAAAAAGACGCTTTCCTTTTGGTCCAAAGTGAAGGAAGTTCCATCCAGCTTATGTCATCGGTCTAGCAAATACCCCAACTGGCCAAGGGTTGTTGTCTCTTTTGAAATGACTCTTCCCTATTCCTTAAAAAACGAAGCAGAGACAACCCCCCCCTCAAAAAAAAAACAACAACAACATAAAACAGCCCCTTCTGAGTTTGAACTTCAGGTCTAATTCCAGAGCCAGACATACCAAGCCTGACTAGGTCAACGTCCATCTCATTGCAACCACTCAACTTTCCAACGAGAAGAAATTTGATCGTCAACATTCACCGAGCGATAATGGGAAAGGAGCTTTCTCCGGTTCTGTGTACGGGGCCTAAACAGTGTGATGTGGCTTCACACTGTTTCGCCCCAGAGAACCAGGAAAAACAAAAGGATCTCTTTATGGCTGCAGCCCTGGGGGGAAAAAAAGGAACAGATAACAGATAATCAGAGCTGGAAGGGACCTTAGAGGTCTTCTAGTCCAACCTCTAGCTCAAGCAGAAGATGTGATGCCATTCTGGACAAATGGTTGCCCCCATTTCTTGTTAAAAGCCTCCAGTGACAGAGCACTTATTCTTATTGGAAACTTATGATTATTCATGGACTGCAAAACTGATGCAAAGGCTAATATCCAGATACATTTTGCGTCCTTCTCTTCCTCCTCCTCCTTCCTCCATTCTAGCACTCCTTTCCAACAATGTTGCAAGGAAACAACCAAGTTCAAAGAGCACCAAGGACCCATCAGTCCTCCTCCTCCTCCTCTTCCTCCTCCTCCTCTTCTCCACAAAACTCCTTTATAGTCCTGATGAAGGAGGAAGAGGAGAAGAATGAGGAGGATGCAGTAAACGAAGCTAGCGCAAGTGAAAATTGTTTTAAGCGACAGGGAGTTCATTTTTTTTTTGTGACTGCCAAGAGACGGGCACCAAAGGGCTGGTTTGATCCCTTTGCGATCCACCAGACGTGGGAAACCAGCTGACGTATTCTATAGGGTTTCAAACCCTGTACCAAGAATTCCGTTCACAAGACCTGAGATGACTTCTTTAAGCGGAATGTTCACTGCTTGTTTTTGCCTCTTTTCCAAACATCAACAAGAATTGCACTTGATGCGCCGATAACAAGCCGCATCGTTTCGGTTCCTGCAGGGATGCCAAGCTGAAATTTAAGTCAAGTGTGCGGCGAGACCGTGTCTTTCGCCCTCCTCGACATTTGAAAAAGCTTCCAGGGGATAAGATCTCATACAGTTTCTGCTCTGGTTTAAATTATGTGAAATGTGAATTATTATTTTTTCAGGGGGGGGGGGGGGGAAGAGCACGATTGAAATATGTGTTCCCAAACAACCGTCTGCTGGCTAAGGGAACTCATCCTGGCCATTTTTGAGACCGAGCCCAGGTGGCTTCCTTCGTCCCAGGCAACCGAATGGAAAAATGTGAACGGGACAAAATAGTTTAAATAAGGACCACATATATGGTCTCCCCTGGCCTTCAAACTTCTGGGGCTCTAAATGACTCCCAAGGTATCTAGCTTCTACCGAGAGTCAGTCTGCAAAACAAAATCTCAGCCATTTATTAATAAAATTATGTTGCTTGCAAAAAAAATTACCGCTATTCCTAGACTGATTTACGGAGAGCTTGCTAACAAACAGGTTTTCTCCAACATGGCAAAGAAACTGCAAAGGAGGTCAAAGAAACAGTTGCCGCCAGACCTCCCAAAGGCATTGAGTACTTTGAGATACCCCGTTTTCCCGAAAATACAACCTACCCTGAAATTAAGTCCTAGCTTTTTACACGTGCGCCCAATATAAGCCCTACCTCCCCCCCCAAAATAAGCCCTAATTAAGATCCGCCCACTCCAGAGTGCATGTTTAAAATTTAAGCTAAGGTGAGGATGGGGGTGTGTGGAGCTGCCCTACTACTTACCTTTGGAGAGTTGTAGCCAGGCCTCGCACACCCCGACACCTGCCTTGCACTCAGTCAATTTCTTCTACAGCTGGCAAGGTTGGCAAGGCTTTCCTGAAGGCCTCTGGAACTGATAACAAAGCTCTGGATCGATCCAGAGCTCTATTATCGGCTGCAGAAGCCTTCAAGAAAGCCTTGCCGGCCGCAGTAGTAGTAGTTCCTGAAGGCCTCTGACAGTGAAAAGGAGACCAGGAGTGACGCACGCAAGTGAGGTTAGTCAGTGGATGAGACATCCCCCGTAAATAACACCTGGTGTCTTTTTTTTGGTGGAGAAAAAAATTAAGACAGGGTCTTATTTTTGGGGAAACATGGTACTTCCAGTCGGATCATATTTAGAGTTTGTTGTCAGGAAAATAGGAAGAGGAAGGCTTGCTGCCTTATTTGTCTAGAAATAAACAAATAAATAAAAACATAAATAAAAAAAAAAAGAATTGGGAAGTCACAGAGCATGGGGGCTTCTTGAAGTAATTACAGTCGGAGTATGGGGGGGAAAGCAAAAAACCCAGCATAGCAATGTAAGAACTGCTTCCTAAGATCAGCATTTGCAAAGGAATGCATTCCAAATATTGCCACGCGGTTCCGAGCAACTCATATAAACGGCCTTCTAAATCTCAAAGCATCCCGCGGAATCCTTTCCCGTATATCGAACCAGCTTTTGAAGATAACTCGTTTTCTGTCAATGTGGCAAAAAAACAACAACAACCCCGCTGAACCTCCAGAATCGGGGCTACCGTATCGCTTTGCGTGTTTCCGATTTGTTTAGTCTGCTTTAGAGACAGATTTGCACCATATCCATAGCGTTTCACGTTACGCTTCCGAAGGAGAACAAAACCAGGAACTCAGAGCATGGTAATGTTTTGGTTTTGCCGCACGTACAGAAGCAGGATATGGCATGGCTACGCAATTGAAACAGCAATTTGGATAATTTATACAAAGGCTAGAGTAAGAGCACTGGCTGATGAGCAAACCTGCAGAATATTGGGACAGAAGAAAGCTAGTTTTTCCGACCCAGACCTAAAACTGATTCTGGTGAGAGAGAGAGAGAGAGTTGTCCGGAGTTTTCAAAAAGTGGTGGTTAAGCTTGCTGGGTTTTCCCCTCTTCTCTTATCCCCTTTTCCTGTTGCGTCATTTTAAAAGATGATAAGCAGAACGTCTGTTTTTCTAACTGTGGATAAGATGATTTGGAAGGTCTTGTTCTTCATCAAAGGATACAATTTAAAACTTATTTGAATCAGGGAACCTGTTTGCTTTCAGAATATATAAATCCATCCATCCCTCTCCCTCCTCCCCCCGCCCCTCTCTCTCACCTGCAATTTTCTTGAGGTCTTGTTCTAAACACCTGTGGAATCCACCCACCCATCTCTATCTATCCATCCATCCACGAGGCCAAGCCAACATCCCACCAGGAAGGGTTTGGTAGAAAGAAACCAGGATGGTGATTGCAAAACACAAAACCTCAAGGAAGGAAGAATATTTGTTTGAGGAAACTGAACATCGGAACAGGGCAAACTTTGGAAATTTACCTGCCAGGTCTTCTTTTGACGAGACCAGCCGTGGGGAACTGTTTCCTGGTTCGATTCTTAGGGATAATCTAGAAAAAAACAAACAGAAAAAGATGGGGTGAAAAGTCAGCAGCTAAGCGGGGACAGATCTGTTCTCTCGCGTTATCCGTTAAAGGTTGCGTTCGTGAATTCTTTGGGTACAATAGATTCTTGCTGAAGTTATGACAGTTTTATCCTGTGAAGCTAAACAGAGTTTTCTCACTATCGCGGAGCTCTTATCTTTTATGAATGTGGCTTTTTACAAGGCCATTTAACAAGCAGAAAGTCACACTGTTCTTGGTCTGGTCAGTTTCAGCATTTTAAATGCACACATCATCAATTTCCAAATCCAAAATGCAGGCAGTCTATTTGTACTTATTAGATTTGTTTGCTGAACTATCTTGCTTCTAAGCGACTGGGTGGCATGCAACATTAAATAGCTCTCTCTCTTTCTCTTTCTCTTTCTCTCTTTCTCTCTCTTTCACTCTCTTTCTCTCTCTTTCACTCTCTTTCTCACTGTCTCTCACTTTCTCTCTCTTTCTCACTTTCTCTCTCTCACTTTCTCTCTTCTCTTTCTCTCTCTCTCTTCTCTCTTTCTTCTCTTTCTCTCTCTCTTTCTCACTTTCTGTCTCTTTGTCAGTTTCTCTCTTCTCTCTCTCTCTCTCTCACAAACACACACACACACACACACAGAGATTATTTTTTAACCTTTTCCCAATCTGTTTGAGGCACCCAGCGTAGGGTCTTTATGCTGGCTCACATTAATGTTTTTAATCCACAATCTCAAAGGATAAATTTCTCCCTAACGCCAGTGATTGTTGGTCGATTGCTATACGCAGTCCTCTTTTAACCTCACTTGGTTTTGGAATATTTTCTATAGCTCCAGACTCTATTTATCCTCCAAAATATATGGTGTTTTTTTTTCTTCATGGAAAGATTTTGCAGATTGGCTGTCTGGCCTCTTAATGGGAACACATTCTTGGACCTCTGTTTCAAGGTGCGATCTGAAATTTGAGGAATTTACACACAATTGCCTTTTCCCTTTTTTTAAAAAAAAAATGTTCATAGCACACAATCGCTCATATATTGGCTGGGGTAGAAGCCACAAGAAGCTTTGGATTATGCCAGACGTCCGTTTTGATTTCTGCTGTAACATTTTCTGGGGGGGGGGGGGGGGGGGAGAGACCAACTAACTGGGGGAAAAATGTTCATCTTGTTTGAATTTTGGTTCCACATATTTGATTGCTTCCCATTTTGGCAACTGCGCTGCCAAAGTTTAGATCCGTAAAGAGAAAATCCTACGGAATTTGAAAGCTTTAGGACACATTTCACACCCGAATGGTTTAACTGGCTATTTAAAAATAAATATCCTATGGAGAAAGCTGATTTTTGATTTGGCTTGTCTCACTTGAACTTGGGAGAGCTAGGAAAATAGAATATTGTTCCAGACAGCTGCCTTGACGAAGCAGGATGGCACATCAGCTCCTGGCACATACTTTCTCTGTGATGTTTGCTTTAAATAAAGCACATCACATTTGCTGAGGTTTGGACTGATAAATTCTTATCATTCCTCTCAAGCAGGAAGGAAGGCAAGAGAGAGAAAGAAAAGAGAGAAGAGAGAGAAAGAGGGAGGCAGAAAAGGAACAGAGAGAGAGAGAGAGAAAGAAAGAAGAGAGAGAAAAAGAGAGAATGAGAGAGAAGAGGGAAGAGAAAAAGAGACAGAAAAGAGAGAAAGAGAGAGGAAGAAAAGAGAGAGAAGAGAGAAAGAGAGAGAGAAGACGACAAGGAGAGAAAGAAAGAAAAGAGAAAGAGAGAAAAGAGAAAAAGAGACAGAAAAGAGAAAGAAAGAGAGAGAGGGAGAGAGGATGAAGAGATAGAGAGAAGAAAGAGAGAAAGAAAAGAGAGGGAAGAGAGAAGATAGAGAAAAATCAGAGTGTTTTTTTTAAAACACCTCCCATGATTGACTTTCTTTTAGCAATCCCTTTTCAAATTGAATGCTTTTAAACTATAAGAGGAAAAATACACGCTCAAATAGGAATGTCAAACCAAATAAAAATTACATGGCGTGACTCACACACGTATGAGGAAAACACTCCTTTCAAATGGAATTAATGCTTGACGTGAAGCAGCCTTCCCGGTGGGAAAGGGGCATTTTTATTTTGGCAGCCTGAAATTAATTCCGCAACGTTTCCATGGAGTTTAAGAGCTGCTTGGCAATGTTATCAGCCTGTCATTGATCCTCACATTCTGGTCTTCCTCACTCGTTTTAGGACCACAACGGAACCCAAAATTTCCATGGCTAAGCAAGACAAGTTGTTCAGTTGTCCCATTCGACGAACTTTCTTGACATCGCTGTTAAGCAAGTCACTGCATTTGTTAAGTGAGTCGCAAGGTTGTTAAGTGAATCTGGCTTCCCCATTGACTTTGCTTGCCAGAGTGTCGCAAAAGGGGACCTCGTGACCCCAAGGGAACGCAGCGACCGTCATAAATACATTCTTCATCTCTTCTACACACAACTGAGATGACCAGAAAACCTCCTGCTTATTTCAATGTCTAATGGTTAAGGCATTAGGCTAGAAACCTGGAGATGGTGAGTTCTAGTCCCGTCTTAGGCATGCATGAAAGATGGCTGGGTGTATTTGGCGCTAATCACCAGGAGACGGTGAATTCTAGTCCCGCCCTAGGCATGAAAAACAGCTGGGTGACTTTGGGCCAATCACCAGGAGACAGGGAGTTCTAGTCCCGCCTTAGCAATAAAAGCCAACTAAGTGACTCTGGGCCAATCGCCAGGCGATTATGAGTTCTAGTCCCACCTTAGGCACGAAAGCCGGCTGAGTGACTTTGGGCCAATCACCAGCCGATTGTGAGTTCTAGTCCCACCTTAGGCACAAAAGCCGGCTGGGTGACTTTGGGCCAATCACCAGGCGATGGGGAGTTCTAGTCCCGTCTTAGGCATGAAAGCTGGCTGGGTGACTTTGAGCCAATCACCAGGTGATGGAGAGTTCTAGTCCTGTCTTAGACAAAAAAACCATCTGGGTTATCTTGAAGGCACCAAGAAAGCTATAATTTATAAGAAAAACATGTTTTGGGGGGGAAATAATCATGACTTCTGCTTCTGGGAAACCCGAGACGGAGCTAGACTGCTGAGAAAACGGCCTATAAGGAGGCAGAGAGAAGCCTTGGCCAAAGAGAAGCTGTTAGTTTGGGAAAGGAGACTTGGGAAGAAAGAAAAAAACAACTGGGAATCGGAAGATGAGAGCCATGGAAAGAAAGACGTGGTTGCTCCAAGATCAGCAGGATTGCAAAAAGAAAGAAAAAAAAGCAGAAAAAAAGCAATGCTTACATAGGCAGGACTGGGCGATTGGTTCTGCAGATGTTCCAGGGGCAGTTCAGGTGGAAACAGAGACAGTAGCTCCTCAAGCATTTAGGATATAAGGGGAGCCTTAGAAAGCAGTCAGATTCCTGAAAATAAGGATAAACCACAAAACTCCCTGTGGAAGCTTCGTCTGCATATATATCTCAACAGGGCATTTGTCTGGCACAGCACTGGAGACGAGGAAGAAGCCAAGAAGCAAAAAGATGGAAACCCATCCAGCTCCAGAGCCACGGGTTGCCAACATCCGACTTAACCCATGTGGCAAGGAAAGCCGTAAAACGAAGCAAAGACATTCGCTTAACAAATGTCTCGCTTGGCGGCATAAATTCCGCCCCCGATTCTAGGGGTCCTAAGTTGAGAGCTACCTGTCGTTAAAACAAGACACGTGATCTTCCGTCTTTCTTATTCCTTTCTTCTCCCCTCCCCCCTTTCTTTTTTTGTAAATCTTTCTCGTGTCCTTCCCAAGAGCTGGTATGTACGTCTTTCTATCTTGCTTTAAAAAATAAAAAAAATGAGAGAAATCAGCACATTTAATCATGGATTTTCAGACGAAAAGGAAGCCTGCAAGATGGACCTCTAGGAAAATACATGTAAACAGAGCTCACTGTTGCTAGCAATTGCCTCCATGGGGTTTAAAATGTGTGTGTGTGTGTGTGTGTGTGTGTGTGTGTGTGTGTGTGAGAGAGAGAGAGAGAGAGAGAGAGAGAGAGAGAGAGAGAGAGAGAGAAGAGCAATTACTCATGTTCTGTCTCATTTCCAAAAATTATGTCATGGCCCTAAATATTTAGAGAACCCTTTTTGGTATGCTATGTTCCACGCACAATATCCAAGCTAATGAAGAGAAAGAAAGAAAGAAAAACTACTGTATATATAATTTTAACATCGCGCATGAATGTGGAACTCGGTCCAAGAATTAAATTAAACAATGTGGCTTCTGGCATCCATCCGAGAGAGCTCAACACACACCAAAAAGCCCACAGACTCACAATGGTACACATGTCAACTACTGCCTGAAGAAGTTTTCCAAGGCTTACGGAAGCTTCATCACAACAAACCTGCAAAATTGACAATGGGTTAAGAGATCCCTCCCGCCACCCGCCATCACATGGCAAGCCAACACAACCGCTGTTTCAACTGGCACGGCAAGGCAAGGCCTTACAGAAAAGTTGTGCCAAACTTCTGGCTTTAAAAGATAGACCGACAATCTCAAACAAACTAACAAACAAATGAGAAGTCAGATTAGTAAAAAAAAAAAATGAACTAGAAAAATGAAAAGTATGCCTCAAGAAGGAGAACAGGAGACAAGAAGAGAAAGCAAAACGAATGCTATCTATTTTGCATCTCATAGATAAGTATTATCTCTGTGTGTGTGTGTGTGTGTGAGTGTGTCTGCCTGTTTCTCAATCAATCATCTCTCTCTCCTTCCTCTATGTATCTATCATCCAACTATCATCTATCTCTCTATCATATCTCTTTCTCTCTATTCTTTCTATTTTCTTTCTCTATATCTATCTATCTCTATCCACCTCTCTCTATCTATCTATCTATCTATCTATCTATCTATCTATCTATCTATCT